GCAGTCAGTGGGAGCGTAGGCAGAAACGACAAAAAGGCAACGACGTGTGTCCCTATCCTTCCGAGTTCTTACGGAGCCGTTTAGCCGAACAGCACATAGACGACTGTTGATGGGGATCCACTCTAGCAGTGCTTGTTCCGCCCTGGGTGGATCTTATAGCATCATGGCTCAAAGAACAGATAACGGAGACCGTCTGTTGCAGCTATGCTCGGATAACCGCCTCTTTCTTGCAAATACTAACTTTAAGCATAAGGAAAAACATCTTTTAACATGGAGACCCCCTAATTCGTCCCAACGTTGGACCAAAATAGATCACATCGCTATCAGCCACCGATGGAGGGGCTCGATAGAAGACTGTCGCTCATTCTGGAGCACATGCTTAGATTCAGATCATGCTCTAGTGCGAGCGCGTATTTGCTTGCGTCTTACTGGACGTAGGAAAGACAATGCAAGTAAACCTCTTAGGGCCCTACTTAATGATAGTCAAGCTAAGAGTATATTTCAGGAACAACTAGGAAAACAGTTAGGCAGCCATGTATGTGATGCCCACCCCGATGCGGCTTGGAATGATATCCGAAAAGCTGTGGAAACAGCAGTGATATCTGCTAGTAAGGTAAATCAGAAGGCTAGGGAGCAACACTGGATCTCAGCAGCATCTATCGCACTGATAGATGCTCGGAAACTCATTCCACCTGGCTCTGAACATAATGAAGAGCAGAGTCAGCTTAAGCGCAAGCTGACAAGAAGTCTACGCAACGATCGTGAACAGTGGTGGGTAGCGAAAGCAAGAGAGATGGAAAAGGCAACGGCAATAGGTAATAGCAGACAATTGTTCAAACTTGTTAAGGAAACCGGTATTAGGAAACCGACTGTTAGCGAAACACTCTCACAGAAAGATGGACATATTATACACTCTCAATCCAGGAGATTGGATTGATGGGCAGAACACTTCAGGGATCAGTTCAACTGGCATTCAGCCACACTTCGATTTCCCACGATCTCTAGTCAACCTGAATGGCAAGTTAATGTAGGTCCTCCGTCTCTTTACGAAGTTGAGAAAGCCATAGTAAATGTAAAGCGAGGGAGAGCAGCAGGCCCTGACAGATTTACTCCTGAGATTTTTTAAGGATGGTGGTTCAGTATTAGCAGTGAGATTAACTGAGGTCTTACGTAGAATTTGGGAACTGGATGTAATCCCATCTGACTGGTCTCAATCACTGATTGTGCCAGTTTTTAAGAAAGGACAAAAGTCCTCTTGTGACAATCACAGAGGAATCAGTTTGACTAATATAGTGTCTAAAATATTAGCTTCAATAATACTTCGACGCCTAACCAAAGCTCGTGAAGAGCAGACTAGAGAAAACAAGGCCGGTTTTCGACCTGGACGTGGTTGTATAGACCAAATATTCACAATACGTCAGGTTCTAGAACAGACACACGTTTAGACGCCCGACAATGGTAGTATTTCTCGACCTTAAGGCGGCATTCGACTCTGTTGATCGTAAGGTTCTATGGCAGTGTTTGTCACTGAAAGGAGTACCAAACAAGTACATTAACCTTATTCAGGCTCTCTACTCGAACACAACTGGTAGAGTGAGAGCTTATGGCGAACTGTCATCAGAATTGATTACCTCAAGTGGTGTTCGTCAGGGCTGTTCACTCTCTCCATTCTTGTTTAACTTTGTCGTTGACGTGCTTTTAGAGATGACCCTTTCATCATCTAAATTTCCAGGGGTTGAACTTCTACCAGGAGGTTCACTTGTTGACTTAGAATATGCCGATGACATAGTTTTATTTGGCGAAGACGCTGACAAAATGCAGAGTCTTCTGACCACTCTAAGCAACAATGCAAGCATGTTCGGATGCGATTCTCTCCCTCGAAATGCAAAATGTTGCTTCAGGATTGGGTTGCATCGACACCCGAACTAATGATAGGGAGTGAAGTAGTTGAACGTGTTGACCGCTTCACTTATCTTGGAAGTCTCATCAGCCCTTGTGATCTGGTTTGTGACGAAATCTCAGCACGCATACAGAAGGCTCGACTAGCTTTTGCCAACTTCTGTCATTTATGGCGTAGGCGAGATATCCGTCTATCAACCAAAGGACGGGTTTACTGCGCAGCAGTTCGTTCCGTCCTGCTTTATGGCAGTAAAACATGGCTGGTAAGAGCAGAGGATATTCGTGGGTTACTAGTATTTGATCATAGGTGTCTTCGAAATATTGCTCGTATATCCTGGGACCATCGAGTAAGTAACGCAGTTGTTAGGAAACGGGTACTAGGTAAGGATGGCAAATCAATTGATGAAGTAGTGAAACTTCATCAGTTGAGATTGCTGGGACACGTGTTACGTATGCCCAACCACCGACTACCTCGACGTGCTATATTCAGTGGTATAGGAGTAGGTTGGAAGAAAGCTAGGGGCGGCCAGACCCAAACATGGCACAAGTCCATGAAGTCACTGACAAGCGGTCTGAGTGATGTTGGTAGGTGTAGACTACCTGGTTGGGGACCGCGAGATGATAGCAACCGATGGTTAGAGACCTTGAATGACATGGCTCAAAATCGTTTGCAATGGCGCAGGTGCATCCACTCTTCGTGTTCTCCCAAATTTTGACTTCCTGATTCCTCCTTGTCTCTTTTTTTCTCTTCCCAAGTTTATTTCACTGTATTATACTCTTTAAGTAACATCTCCAAACACTAATCTTTCCGATTACTGCTTATACTCTTATTACCTCTACGACTACGGGATTTGAATCGACCACGGCATCTCTGTGCTAATGTGGTGTGGCAACTCGAACTGATGTACGTACGTACGAAGTTCTACGTTGTTATTGACTGACTGACTGAGATGTTGCCTAATACCCAAATGACTGCTAGGATATAGTTTTGACATTTGATATCGTCGAACAGAAGACTGTGGCCAGGTAGTCAGTCAGTAAGTAACAACGTAGAACTTCGTACGTACGTACATCAGTTCGAGTTGCCATACCACATGAGCACATAGATGCAGTTGTCGATTCAAATTCCGTAGTGTTAGAGGTAGTAAGAGTATAAACAGTAATCAGAAACATTAGGGTTTGAAGATGTCATTCAAGGAATATAATCCAGTGAAATAAATTTGGGAAGAGACAAGGAGGAATCAGATTAAAATTTGGGAGAACACAAAGAGTGTATGCGCAGGTGCATACACTCTTTGTGTGACCAGGTAGACATTCTATCTCTCTTAATAAGTAATTACCCTAATACTAACGAAGATTCTGTTGTTGCTGTGATTTCTACTACAGATTACGCAAACGACAGTTTCATAGATGCAATAAGCCCTTCCCATAACGACTTGCCAAGTAGGAGATGCCACAAGAAAGGATTCGACGCCTTGAGAAGTGACAGCAGAAGGAGAGATGGGTATTCCAAAAGAACCAGATACGTAGAAGACCCACCAGAAAACAAAACAGCTTGGGATCCCGTCCTGAATAGAATTTAAATTCGACTGTTCTTGCGACCGCCTTAGTAGTTGATACAGTATTCGTCTTCCTAATATTTTAACAGACCTATTTAATAATAGCAATAAATATCGGAGGACACACCTTCGATAACGTAAAAACTACTAGATTTTGTCAGGATCCTCAGATTGTAGAGCACACAAAAAGTTGAGTCGCAAAGAACAGGTTTGTTTACGATTAGACTTTGAATGTACTGAAATGTTCACTACCTGCCAAATGTCATGACAATGCCATACTTATTGCATGCCAACAATCGTTATGTTTCTCAACACTGTGGCCCTACCCAATTCTTTGGGCAGGAATGTATTCTGGGATTGTCTGTTGGGAAAGGGTGTTCCTGAAAAGTTTATTAATGGCTTGAAAGCCCTGTATACAAACCTCAGGGAGAATGAGAATATGCAACCACCTCTCTCTAGTAGTGGCGTCAAGCATTGCTACCCATCCTTACTAAATCTTCTTAACAGCACCATCGATAACACTCTGGAAACAGTTCTGATGAAACTAGGCAGTGGTGATGCATGTTACCAGAGAGATTTATTGATTTATTTAAACATAAAAATATTGGTACAAGGAGGTACCAAATATATATGCACTACACAAATCAAATGATTTGTGTGAGGGCTGGAATACTTCCCGGATGCCAGGAGAAAGACTTCGACCATCATTATGCGGATGACATTGTCCTACTGTGTGATGATAATAAAGCTATGCGATCCACAAATGATCACCTGGAAAGCAAAATCCGTAGGTCTGGCAAGTACTTAGTACATTCCAAGTGCGAAATACTTTTACAAGGCCACTGTGCAACGCCTAAAGAACAAACAATGTGAAGTGCCTCTTAAAAGTCGATTATTTAGCATTATAGTCAGTTTCATGGTACCGTACTATAGAGACGTGAATATTAGATATGAAATGATTATTAATCAAAGTAATGCAACTCAATTGTTACGTGTAGACTCGATGACTTCCCTCCGAGCTGATAAGGTTTGGTCGATGTTTGAACTACTAACCTAATAATAGAAAACTGAGCGCTTTATTCACTAAGACAGTGATCTATACAGATGAGAGTTCAAATACTTGACTAACAAACCTTTGCATAATAATTCGTATGAAGTTAATCTCAAAGTTTTAGACAAGAGTCAGTCAATCGATGTAATAATATGAACTTGATTAAACTGACGTAGTTAAGTCGTTTTCTACATTGCAACTTGTTACTGACTTTAGCGTGGAACGGTGGCTGAGCTAGCGGTCCTGATTTTATGAAACATCGTAGTTAATTCAGTAGACTGAAGTATGAAACTATCGTTGTTTTTATGTGACTCAAAACCTATTACATTAACTTTTAAGTGGTTTCGTCATACATACATACCTCAAAAATATTCCCAAATTATCAGCGAACCAAAGGAGTGAAACCCTAACAGTAGCAGACAAAAACGGATAGATTTTGATACATTTACTTTTCTTGGTTATTCAGGAAAAATAAATCGAACACAACTCACCTCTTCGGATATGCATATGACTATCAACATGTTTGGCTACAGCCCGACGTAAAGAAATATCTACTGGTGCAGCTCTATCAATATTTGGTGCAGTAGTCGCTTCACCCTTCAGGTAAGCTAAAAGATCACGTCGATCTGGAAGTCGTACGACTGGAAGACCAGCACTCTGGAAACAATTATTACCGCCCAAACGGGAAAACCTCTTACTGCTGCTTGTCTCACATACTGAGTATGGGGCAAATCAATGTGCTTTAGTAGATGCACAACACAATCCAACGTATAATAGTCTTTTGGAGTACCTTCCTTTCCCGACCTGCAACCAAAGACTTGAACATAAAACACTCCCAGTTACCCCCATACTAGGAAGTTCGTTTTAGTAGTCTTAGGCCAAGCGAAGTCTCCAAATATTACTTCACTTTGTGTTTCAACAATAGGTTTCCCACTGAGATGATATTCTCGCAAGAGTGACAAGACATCTGCCATTATGCAAACAGTAGCGTAATATTCGAAACCTGAGAAGAACTATTCAATACTCAATCTAGTTCATTTCGGCTGGAGTTGCACAAATCCACGATTAAAATTTCACATGGCTATAGTAGTAGACAGTAAGATTCAAACACTTATGAGTCAATATGCTTCGTTTATCATACTGCTTGATTAACTTGATTTTAATAGGCATAGTATAGTAAGGAGGCTATATTTCCTAAATTAACTTGGAAACCGGTCTTTTTTCCACTTTACAAGGGTGCATGTCTTATTGGCCACAAATATCGCCGATAGCCGGCTTATCCAAGAAAATATTAATGTTAGGCCCATTATGAGTAAGGTACTTAGTTGGGGTTCTTAAGGAGGTATCAATCCAGTTCACGATGCTAGCACTCATATATGATGTTCCCTAAGTTACTCATACATGAGAAAAAATAAAAGGTATAGAAATACGTTTAGTTAGAACGAGTAGTGGGTTTCGAGGCCCAGATTGCTGCATACGCTCTTGTCCATTCTTGTCCTTAAACAAATATAAGTTAATACTGCCGTAATGACTGCCCTTAAATTTTGCAAATTTATGGTGGAAACACAGCGATTATAATTTTTAGCAGCAATCAGTAATGGCCATAATGGCCACAACAATTATAAGCTAATCTAGCTTATCAACAAGGTAGCTTTTAACTTATTGTATGACTGACAAAATCAAATATTTATTGATCATACCCTGGTTTTACATCCCTTAAAATTTCTGACGTGTCCACAATATGCGTAAAGAAAGGCTTGACCTACGGGTTAGTTGAGGGCAAAAGTAGATGCAATTACGACAATTAAGAAAATAAAGGCTTAGTACTCTAAAATTTCGTAACGAGCACTACAGTGGTTAAACGTTTAGTGTATGGAAAGCACATGCACTTTGTACTCATATTGATAATGGTAATTATTATTCACAAGCAGCTTGTAGGTAAAAGTGTTGCAATGAAACCACTTTAGGTCTTTCCAGAAATGTAATATTACACACGTTTCAATAACGTCAACGTAATTTTTGTCATATTAAAAGACAGGTTTTGTGTAATTGAGAAGAATACTAAGTTGACTTTAACGAAAGTAAGGGAGAAAATAGAGAAATAAAAACAAAGGAAGCGCGAAATACGTAAATAGTTTATTAAGCGTGTTTATGAACACAACAAGAATGTCACTAAATCATATCTCCAAATGAACAATAAAGATGAAAAGATTTTTTTAAATAAATAAGGGAAAAAATCATTATTACAATGAGATTCGACAGTAGAACAAATGGTCTTGCAGTAATTGGTGGAAGTGATGTTATAAAAGTCATAATTACTTGCAAAGAATAGTCAAATATAAATTTCTATGTGCTATATATATATATATATATATATATATATATATATATATATATATATGATGAAAATAAAACGAATCTGAAAAGCTAATTTATTTAATCGTAACACAAGATAATTTGTTTTTAGTTATATAATTTGGATGTCTAGGAATAAAAATATGTTATGAAAGAAAAAAGGGACGATAATGATAATAATAATCAGAAATGTGAATATGAACAGACTTCAGGTATTAAGATGAGTAAAAAGAAAATGAAATAGGGTAAAAAAGAAAAGATTAAATGTTATACTTTGCTGTTCAGTCAACCAGATGGGTGACGGACCTTATTTGTATTAACCGTTTTTAAACATATTGATATTCAACAAGTGACACAATTCACTTTCGCAACAGAGGTAACTGGTAGTCTTTTCCGCATGACTGAATAGTGAATAACGAAAAAATTCTGACATAAGTTTGTGTAGGATCTTGGAATCACTAGTATATTTTCCTTATTGCGTAGGTTGTGGGATGACATCATAGGATGGCGGTAAATAAATCCAAAAAATAAATAGCTCTGTAAGTCTTCGATATTCGATGCTCACTACATTGGTTTTAATAGACTCATCTAGCTGAAGGCGCTCGGTCATGCATCCGCTCCAGATCACGAGTGAGAAAGCCGTGCTCAACTTCTCCTGCAACCGCTAGCCATTTTATATCAGTCGTTTCCCGGTATATTGATAGCCTATCAGATATATCCTCGAACCTCCTCGCTCCTGACTTTTGATTTCACTAGGCGGCCGCTGTTCATTCATAGAAGGTGTACTGCTTAGAGTGTTATCAAATTAGAAATACCTGTGCTATCTTCAATGGAGTACGAAGGGATGGATGCCGAAGAATAAGAAATGCCATTTTTAAGCCGGTAGGTAAAGACGAGGTTTAATTTGATATGCCTTATCCAGAGAGGTTCCAAATCAAGTTGTTGACATCTTTAGTGATAATCCTTGTTGTCAGAATACCCCAAAACAGCTTTAGTGAACCTTCTTTGAACACATTCTATTTTAATCACGTCATTATGCCCGCCGTTGCTGTAAAATAAAGTACCATATTCAAGAATGGGTAAAACACATTTTTCGTATTATATTAACAATCTGTATTCGAAGTTATCGAAATTTATCATTATGAATCTAATGAGCTTTCTAGCTTTGGATACTTGAGATGCAGTGTGCTCGAAAAGGTTCGGACTGCTGATGTATCTCAAACCCAAGTCACGAACAGTGTTGAGAGGTTGTAGAATTATGGTCTACTATGATATTAGTACTGCGCTAATAATAAACCTAATCCTAAAATTGTAGACTTGTCATGATTTAACTACCTAATCTATAAGACCTTACGTAGAAGTCTTACCATCGTCTACACCAACTCATCGTATCGTAACAACCACCAATACATGATGTAGAACAAGTTTAGGCTAGAGATAGAATGATATATTTAATATGAACAAAAGATATAAGATAACATTCGACAAGGACCGCGCCTGCGAGGCCAAGCCATGCCATTCGTTCAACTCCAATTAACTCAAATCCTTGTTCCCGGCTTCTCTATCTTTATGCATTTTTCCGCGTTAAATATTGAATATCTATTTTCCGAGTAGCCTCGTATTCAGCTTTGAGGAATGTGTGGTTATGGTCCGATTCCACCACAAGGTTATAGTGCATGTTTGATTTTAGCCAGATTAAGGTTGTGGTTGCGGCCAATATGAATAAATTCACTTCCGTCAACATTCAGCGGCAGATTTCGTGAAACAGTCCACTGATAAAACTTGTTTATTTTTTCTTGGATAACCGCTGGAATATAGTTTTCTTTGGTTGGAGATGAGAATGAATAAACCACTTTTAGGTCATCGGTAGAAAGAAAAATTTACAGGATTGAAAGAGCGAACACACGTCATTGATGAGAAGGAGAGCGAGTAATGAGTTAACACACTTCCTTGTATAACCCCACTGGCCATATTCACAGGCTTAGATTAGCAAGGTCCAGAGCGGACGATTTACTACGTTCTGCTAAAAAAATGTAAACCGGTATAAAAATGGATTCTGTATGCCAAGTGAAGAAAGTTTCAGAAGACTTTTGCGTGAAACACTGTCGAAGGTCTTACTAAAATCGAAGTACGGAATTACCACTGACTGACCAACATATTTTCGTTGTGCAACTTGATCAAGAGTTTCCAGGTGCGGTGTGAGGCATGAGTATTTAGCCATAAATCCATGTTAGAATGAGCTAAGGGGGCTAGCTGAAAATAAAAATGATAATAGCTGTTTGTGGATAATATTTTTCATGATTCTTCACAGCAATAATGTCAAGATAATGGGCCTGTAGTTAGCAACATCACTATTTATGGTTTCATCTCGAATATAGGAGCGATAAGCGATGTTTTCCATACAAATGGATAAGCTCCATATTTCATAGATAGGTTAAATAATTTTAGATAAAATAACGGGAATTCCCCACTACCATATTTCACAAATGATATAGAATCCCGTCAGGTCCCCCAATTTACACTGTTTAAGGGTAGCTATGGCCTGCTTGATGTTGGTGGATATGAAATGTCTAGATGTTGACTCTAGAAGCGCATTGATAGGGGTCTTGATTGCAGCGTTGTAGCACTGCGAGAAGTGCTGGCTAAATTGTTCACACATAGCATCAGGGTAGTCAACAATGCTTCTGTTAACTATGAAGAATTTGATTTTGCTAATAGAATTTGATTTCACACGGGATTTGAAAAACCGAAGTATTGATAACTCTGGACTTTTACTGCCCAGAGAATTATTCTCAATACTCAAAACATACTTGCGTTTAGATGAATTATTTCTGTCTATCAAGCTAAGTATACTCTGAAGTGCATACACGTCATGATGCTTGTTGTAACGGTGTTTCAATTTTCTCAGCTTTCTCTAAACGGTTCAAAAGTATTCTGACATCCACTGATTCTCTAAGCCACATGACCGATAATTGGAGCAGTGCAATAAAGTTGTGGTATAAGTCGGAAATCCCAGCGTCAACATTATTTGTGGTGAAATAAGATTCACGTGGTTAGCATCGAACTGCAGCTTCAAAGCACTTCCACGTTTGCTGGTCAAACTTCCTGCTCTGATACATCGTTTCAGCTCAAGAGTTAGACAGCATAGTGTTTTCAGAATAAACACTCGAAAAATTTCATGACTGATGTGCACTGAGATAGAGTTGATTGTAAATAATAAATCAAGTATATTAATCTTCCGTGTCGCCTTTCGGACTTATTGTGTCTCAACTAATTATATCGATCTGACATCGAAGTCGAACTCCATGTAATGTTCGGTAGGTTAAAGTCACCTCCGATGATCTTAAGTGCGTGCGGTTGATGCGAAGCAATGAAAAATATGTTTGTTAGTAATTTATCAAATTTAGTATCCTCGTGAGGTGGTCTGAATATGCGTTTCATCAGTAGATACTTTTGCGATCCCCAATTTACGGTAACCTAAGTATAGTCATCTATTCTCACATTTTCACGCCTAAATGCCCAAACAGACATGAATAATTGTACCACCTCTTATTCCATGACGTTTGTCGGTTCAAAAGAAAACGTAGTTATCTACGTTCAGGGACTGATCGTACATGGATGATTTGCATCACGTTTTCGTAATATGT